GAATACCACCGACCTCTCGACTTGCTTGCTCTCTACGATACCCGAACCATGGTCGCCCTCGCCTGTTCATTTTGCTGCTGCACTGCCCCTCTTCGGTGTCAGAGATCCGGCTGTGTGGAATCGCTTCTTGCCACGACGTGGTCCGGTCGCTGCCCTTCTGCGCCTCAGCGGGACGGGAGGCTTGGCTACCGCGCGACCGCCATGCCTGGCCAAGTTCAACGCTAGGCAGTTTGGGGCCGGTTGAAAGAATCTCAATACTCGGAGCAGACCAAATCTTCACCCCTCGGGTCTGGCGGAACCTGACCAGATGGCAGAAGCTGTTCAGAGATCTTGACCATCAAGGCAGTTGGTGCCAAACTGTTGGCCACAGCTTAGTCCCTGACTTGTTGGCTAGCAAAATCGGAAAGTTGGAAGTCTCCCCAAAGTCGCAAGGCTCTGAACCTGTCTGCTAATCCCTGTACAAGTGCCCAATGCCCGGCGGCAATTCTCTTGGCCTAGGCAGTCTTCCCGCCTCTTGCGCCGACTACAAATGCGGAGTCATGTCCTCATCGCTGTCGACGCATATATCCTCCTTCTCCCGCATCTATCCTTCTCCTCGCGCATCTATCCTCGTTCTCGACGCATCTATCCTCCTTTGCAACTTGGCCACCCCCCGGCCTCAAGCCTTTCCAACCGAGCACCACCAACAAATCCCAAAAGCCATGGCAACTCTCTGCAACTACACGTCACCCGGGCTCTTCAACACATCTGGCCTCGAGCGCCAGGGTCACGGAGTGCTCTTCCCTTACAACCCCGAGTTCTACGACCTCACGTCGGGCCTTTACGGACCCGGCACAATCATCGCATGGAACTTGTTATTTGTCTCCCTCGTCGTCAACTCTAATCCTCCCGAGAATGGAAGCGGAGCTCAGATCAGCTTTTGGGCAGGCATGTCCGGCGAGCTGGTGGCATTCGTCGCATACCCCATGTTCGCGGCCACCGACCTCCTGGTTCGAGGGATACGACTCATCGGCCACGAGAATCGAGCGGATGCTCTATATTGCCTCCGGACACTTACACGGGGGTTGAATGCCGAGAATTCGCAGCCCTCACTACTAGTACGCGACATGGAATACTATCCGCAGGACACCGTGAACCTGGCCGACATCCCACCCGATATACTAAGTCTGGGGCAGCGCGTTGTTGAAGCAACAGGCCCGCTTGATGTCAGCTACAGCTGCTTCCCCCTGCTGCTTATCTGGGCGATCAACAACTCCGAGTCCGTTCCCGGGCGTCCGCATCGTCCAGCGGTAACCTTTTTCTTGGGAGCCGGCACGGCATACGTCTTTCTGGTCGTCTTTATTTTCCAATGCACCCTGGGAGACTTTGTTAATGGTATACTGGCTATACCAATGACGGAGTACTTACGATTCCTTTGGAAGTTTTTCGGTATTTATCTTATTATGGCCGATCTGGTGATAGCGAGTGTTTTGATACTTCTGTTATCTGGCTGGCTCTGGGCTGGCTACCTCTTTCTGAAAGGTGATTGGGAGATGTTAGCGGCGTTGAAATTGATGGCATTGGAGTTTTTCAAACCGAAGGACAAGAAGCCCGAGGAAGACGAACTTAGCTTTACAGCATTGTATATTGGCGCAGGGTTCCTTCTTTGGTGGCTGAGTGTGCGGTGGTTCGGCGACTGGCGCCCTACCAGCCCCTGGGTGCCTGACATAGGTGTCGCCCTCTCAGAGCAAGACCAGCTTGCTGCCGTCATTGCGGCGAGCATGTCACTTTCATATACCATTTACACTGCCTGGAGGAGGGTACCCGAGGAAGCCGGGGATGTGGCACTGGAGGAGAATTTGCTGCGGGACCAGAGCTCGGATGGCGCAGAGGCTGTAGTTATGTTCGTGGGAACTCGGAGGGCTAGCGTTTAGACGATCACGGCGGCCTGCTAGACGGGTTGAGACCAGCTTTGTATACTTTCCCCAATGTACGGTCATTTGGCCGGCTTCTTTAAGGTTTACACCTCGCTCTTCCAGCGCAATCATTCGCCTGTCCGCTCTCGCTATTTGTCTCCCATGTCCGAAGTGCCGTGGTAGTTGTCGTCAGACAAGTCACTCGTCTTCAACTTTCCTCCTCAGAGCATTCGACCGACTTCAATGACTTCGCTGTCATCGTTGTTGGAAATTTGAGCTGTGGCATAACTGAAGATTCTGGAATCAACGCCAGTGCTTGCTGTATTTCAAGTTACTAGTACTAAACTTGGAGTCCCCGACCTGCATCTTACATACCATGCCACGTGCAAAGGAACCGCTGTTCAACGTTACACGGGCGGTCGTTGACGGTATGCAGGCCGGTCTAGCATACTACTCCGTGCTGGTGTGTCAAATAAAAGTGACCTCTCATATCTCAAGTCATTCCACGGTTTCGATGAAACTCTTTAATCTTGCAGTGCCCTATAACCAACCCCTGAAGGTTAAAGCATTGCAACGCGACAGGGGGATTGCAACACGACAGGGGGGTCCGGCCCAAGTCCGAGTGCCAAGGGCCGATTCCGAGGGCTGCCTGATCCGACCCGGGCCCCGAAGTCGTCCGTCTGGTCCATTCGCCAGAGCTACGGGATACAACCATTATTATTAGAAACCCACCAAAAATATAAGATCCCCTGCGTCCCCATCACCCGGCCTCCTCTCTCCCCACATCCATCCATCGACACCCACCAAACATGTCACCATGCCCCCCCACCCCGCGACACGCCCGAAATGGCGAACGAGCGTCCTCTTCTTCGCCGGCTGCGCGACCCTCGTCTTCGCCGCCAACCTGGCCTGCGCGGCGTGGGCGACGGCCCACGGGGTCGGCGGCGTCGCCGTCCTCGCCGACAGCAGCTGCGCGCGCGTCAAGCTCGCCAACACGCTGATCCACCTGGCCGTCAACGCGCTGTCGTCGGTGCTGCTGGCGGGCAGCAACTTTGCGATGCAGTGCGTGATGGGGCCGACGCGGGCCATGGTGGACCGGGCGCACCGCGCGGGGTCGTGGCTCGAGGTCGGGGTGCCGTCGGTGCGCAACTTTGGGAACCTGGCGCGGGGGGATCGGGTGTTTTGGGTGGCGCTGGGGGTGTCGTCGTTGCCGTTGCATTTGTTGTAAGGACCCCCTCTCCTCCCGACTGGGCGTGGTGGCTGACCGTACCGCAGCTACAACTCCGCCATCTTCGCCTCCTCCTCCGCCAGCTACTACCTCACCTACACCGTCCAGCAAGGCTACGTCGACGCCGTGCTCACCGCCCCGCTCAACGACACCGCCCTGTTCCCCCTCCCGACCACCAGCACGAGCTCGTGGGCCTACGTCCCCCGCCACCTGGCGCTCGCCGTGCGCGACGGCCGCATGGCGCGCCTCACGCCCGACGAGTGCATCGACGCTTACGCCGCGCCGCTGCAGTCCGCGTGGGGCGACGTGCTGGTCGTCCAGGCCGGGGGCGACCTCGACATGAAGTCGCGGGGCTACGCGACGGCGCTGCCGGGGACGTCGGCGTGCGGCAACACGGAGAGCTTCCAGTGGATCTGCGCGGGGTACGGGCGCGAGGTGCGGGGGGGGTGCGACGTCCCGTGCGAGGAGAGGTTGCCGGGCTTGCGGGCGAGCGGGGAGGCGGTGTGGAGGCCGGATGGGAAGGAGGCCGAGTACTGCCTGGCGATGCCGATGGGGGACCGGTGTAAGCTGCAGGCGAGCGCGGCGCTGTTTTGGATCGTTACGGGGACGAGTTTGGTCAAGATGATGCTGTTTGTGCTGCTGGCGCTGCGGAGTAGGGAGGGTCGGTTGTTGACGGTGGGAGACGCGATTGCGAGCTTTCTGGAGAATCCTAGCTACTCTGGGGAGAGCGGTCCCCTTTGCAGGGACGATGTGGTGGAGAAGAGGCCGTTGGAGGCGCGCCGCGTGTTTTCTGGTGAGAGGAGGAGGGGGACCGCCGCGGCGAGTCGGAGGCGGTGGGCGGCGTGCATCTGTTTGTGAGTTCTCTGGTCCGGTTCGTGTGAGGTGGTGTCACTGACTCTGACCGTCCCCAGGTGGATCATGGCGATCCTGTTCGCGCTCATCCTTCTCGCGTGGGGGGTGTCGACGCTCGGGAAGGCAGACATCAAGGCGTCGACCATGTACTCGTGGGGCATCGGGGCCATCAACGCCCGGACGACGATCAACTTTGAAGCCATGAATGGAGCCCGTCGGAAGCTGCCAACCCAGACGCTGCTCGTGCTCGTGTCGGCCATTTCGAACGCGCCGCAGCTGGTCCTGTCGCTGCTGTACCTGGCGTACAACGGGCTGTTCACCAGTGTGTGTCTGGCGCGCGAATGGAGTCGGTTCGGCTGGGGGGTCAGGAAAGGGCTGCGCGTGTCGAGCGTGCCGAGGGGGAAGCAGAGGAGCGACTATTTTCTTCAGCTGCCGTATCGGTATGGAGTGCCTCTTCTGGGGGGGTCCATCCTGATGCACTGGCTCGTGGGACAGAGTTTGTTTCTCGTGGCCATCGACTTCTACGAGACGGGGCCCGACGGGGCTCCCAGGCATCGGCCGAAAGATACTGTCATCAGCTCAGGATGGTCACCGCTGGGCATCACGCTGGTTGCCGCGGTCGGGACCGTCATGCTCTGCGTGCTGGGCATTGTGTCGAGGAGGAGAATGCCGACGGCCATGCCGTTGGTGGCCAGTTGCAGCGTGGCGATTGCGGCGGCGTGCCATGCGCCGGCCGAAGAGACCGACCAGTGGCTCTGGGAGAAGGAGGTTCAATGGGGAATCCCGATTGACGACGATGTCAAGAGAGGGACAGACGAGCGTTTGTGCTTTACAAGCAAAGAGGTTCTGCCACCTGTGGCAGGAGAGGTGTATCGATAGGAAAGTAAAAAGGTAGACGGGGAAAATAAAAATAAAATAAATACAAAAAGCTCACGGTCAAGCACCCCTACGGGATGGTTGGCCGCTACGAAAACCCGGTCCCGACGAGGGATCCCGTTAGGGGGATCCCTTTAAAGGATGGGGTTTTACTCCGTCGAGAATCGAACTCGGGATCCCCCACGTCGAGGTGTGGTTTGTAAATGGGTCCTCCAGGGGGGCGCCCAGGACCGTTGAACTACGGACACTGGGGATCTTGGCGATGGAAGGGGGTGTGTAAACAAAGCCTGTATGGCACCCGGTGCTGGATGGGCCGGGGCCCGGGCCGGTGCCTGGTCGGGTGACTCCACTCCACCCCGAGTCCAGTCGCCGCCGCCCCACCCCGCCGCCGGCACCGCCACCTGCCTCCCGCCGACCTCCTCCTTACCTATATTCGGGTTGGAACGAGGAGAGCGGGATAGTGGGGGACTGAATGGCGGTGACTGTTCCGACTTGTAGGTATTTTCTCAAAGACGCTACAAAACCGGGACAACACTCTCCCACACCCCAGACGTCAGCACCTCACTGCTATCCGGCGCCGTCCAGAACAGCATCCCCATGAGAACCGCCTTCCATATGACCATGTCGGTAGCCGGTTGGTCCGCCGGTTCGGGCTCTTCCTCGGAAATATCCGAACCTTCCCCAAGAACCGCACCCCAAAAGGAATCCTGCCTCCATCTGACCGACCGAGCCCGGTCGACAATCCCCCTCGCGACACCAAGTTGCCGTTTAATGTACTCGAGCATGGAGCGACCAGTGTTGGGGACACTAGGATCCGGTCTCCCAATAAGATCCTCGAGCCGTCGGCGGTGTTTGTGCCCCTTCAACTGCGCCATGCACCTCTCCACCTCATCATCGCCACTAGCGTCTCCAACACCCCCCACGAGGCCCTCAAACACCCCCAGCACCCCCTCCATTGCCCCCAACGCCCCGGCAAATCTCCCAACCACCCCCTCTCGCCCCCAGTCCGTCCTCTGACCCCCTCCGATCCCCTCCCCCGGGCCAGCCCCGAGAACCATCAACCCGTCAAACAGCATCTCGCACCTCTTCCTCAAGATTTCCCCCTCATTCAACACCTTCCGCCTCCCACCCGACCACACCTGCTCCCCACCCAACCACCTCCCCACCATCCCCGCCTGCACCCCCACCAACCCCCGAAAATACCTCCGCCTCCCCCCATCCAGCTCATCAAACCACTCCCGAAACGCCCCCCACCCCTCCCGCACCACAACCCGCGACTGCTCCAACACCTCCCCAATAACCGCCATCCCCTTCCTCTCCAAATCCGCATCCAAACCCTCAAGCACCAGTCGTACCCGCGACTCGCACGTGAGCAGTCCTACACCCTCCGTCCCAGCGCTAACAGCATACACCCTCTCGACATCTTGCGCCTCGACACACCCCGGAAAGACCGAACGCTCCCCCGACCCAAAACACACCACCTTCCACCCCCCCCTGCCCCAGTGCGCGCCAGGGTCCACACAAGTCCCAAGCCAGAACCCCCTCCCCGCCGCGAGCGCCAGCGCCCCGAGCGCGTCCCCGCCGCCGCGCAGCGACAGCGCGACGGGGAACACCGCCGGGATGCACCGCGGCAAGGAGGCGTACAGGAGCCAGTGCAGCCCGTGGCTGTCGGTGCGCTGCGCGACGTGGCGGCAGGTGTGCGGCTCGTGGGGCCCGGGGGGGTGGAAGACGGGCGGGTAGCTCGTGTGGTCTGGGTGGGAGAGGCGGCGGAGCTCGGGGAAGGGGACGGAGGGGGAGAGGGCGTGGTATGGGGTATCTGTTTGCCACTGTTCCAAGCGCACCGCGGGGGCGTCAAAGGGGCGATTCTGGGGGAGGGTGGTGTGGTGGCGGAGGTCGGCGCGGGAGTGGAGGATGGCGGAGATGGTGGTGAGCAGGGGGCGGGGGGGTCGGGGGATCAGGGGCTTGCGTTGGAAGGTCGGGTGGAGGAGGAAGGAGGCGACGGTTCCGAGGGTTGGGTGGGCGTGGAACGTGAGTTGGAAGCCGTCGCCGATGAGGAGGGGGTATGGGGAGGATGGGGTCGTGGTGAGTGTGTGGGCGCCTGCGGCGGCGAGGGCGGCAACGAGGAGGCTTACCTGGGCGTGGGCGGGGACGGCGGGGATATCGGAAGGGAGGGTGTCCATTGCACTTTGGTGGAGGGTCATGCCTCTGGACAAGGCGGCGAGTCCGGTGAAGTCAAGGAGGCGGGCCCATGACGCGGTTGGGAGCTGGGAGATGTTGAGCATTTGCTTGGTTGATGGTGATTTTTCCTCGTCATCGTTGTGGTCCATGAGTAAGTATGGCATGGCTGGCCAGTCCTTCCATTCCTTCTCTTGAATCATCAGATCGAGCATCAGGTCCGACATGAGAACGGGTGTTGTCGCGGTCGAGAGCCATCGCAGCGCGTCCCACGACCATTCTGTTTTCGTCCGGCTCGCCCAGGATTGGCCGATTACTCGCGGACTGCACCTTTGGGGGGATTTTCTTGGGTTCAGTCCCTTCATCTTGCATGGTTGGATAATGGTTGAGGTCCCCAATGTCGGGTCGGGGAGGGCAATGGAAGGAGGGAGAGAACCGAGGCGTCGAAATAAGGTTGCTTGGCAAGTCTGATCCCGGCTGTTCCTTTCCATGTACCTGGCCTGGGCGCAATCTCCGGCATCCCATCCATGTCTCACCCACAGTACTGGATGACAGAGTATCCCGTTGCTACTCACGAATGTAAGTGAACAACCACGTCACGATGGGAAGCATTCCCGACTCCAAGGGACGGAACAGGGACGGGACAGGGACAGGATAGTATAATCCTCTAAAGATACAGACGTCCCGGGACACAATGAAGATCCCCGTTCGCGTGGCCTAATTCTCTTCGTAAATATCGCTGTCACTGTCGTCGATTCATGTTAGCATCGTCATCGGCAACCAGGCCTTGAGGCTTCACTTACAACCGCTCCCCGAACCTCTCCCGGCCTTCGGCGTCCTTGTTCACCCAGATACTGACACTCGTCTGGCCGCAGTGGAACTCGCCAAACCCGTCGTTCCCAATGACAACCTGCTTGTTGTCCCACCCAAGAACGTCGGTCCAGATCTCGCCAGCATGCATCTCACCCACGTGCATGCGCTTCCATCCGGGCCCGGCGTTGCTGATGACCACGGCACAGCCATAGCGACGGTCCCACGTCCCGTAGCGAACCCAGCCGATGCACGTCTCAAAGTCAAAGTAATCGGCCTGCTTGCCGTACGCGTAGAGCTTTCGCGCAAGCATGATGTGGGGCAGCATCCCGCCGCAGGAGGGCGGAAAGGGATGCTCGCCCTTGATGCCGTACAAGTCGCCGTACCAGACACATGGGTAGCCCTGGTCCCGCAGCAGGATGAGGGCGTATGCGAGGGGCTTGAACCAGCCCTCAATAGGGGCTTCCAGCGCCTGGTATGGCTGGGTGTCGTGGTTCATGACGAGCGTCTGTCAAGCTGTCAGCATTTTGGGAGTCTGGGTCAGAGGAAAGGCACATACCACGGCGGAAACGGGATCAGACTGGACGAGAGTGTGCTCAAAGACTCTTCTGAGGTCGGCGCCGGTGGATTTGCTGATCTCGCTGAAGTTGTAGACCAGAGGCGCATCAAACAAGGAGAATTTGTGGTCCATGCGGTCCAGGTAGTTCCTCTGGAGACAGTTAGCATCCTCGGGCGGGCGTGGTGGTCGGATACACTCACCATGTCGCTCAACGAGTCCTTCCAGAACTCGCCGACAAAAAACCACCCCTTGCCATACTTGGCGTCCAGTGCACCGATGAACTTTTCGAGAAACTCGACGCTGTAGTGCTTGATGGCATCGAAGCGGATTCCCTTGAGGGGGACTTCCTTCGCCAGCCACGTCCCCCACGCAACGACATCATCCACGACCTCGGGGTGGGAATAGTCCAGATCGGAACCCATCAGATAATCGTAGTTGCCCTTTTCGGCATCCACATCGCCCGTCTCGGCCCACCCATCTGATTGCTCGCCGATGATCTTGTAGATGGCGCTCTGTCCGTTGGCGGCATTGAAGTCGACGCCGCTGAAGTGGTACCAGTGGTACTTCATCTCGCTGTACTTGGTCCCACGGCCCGGGAAGTCAAAGCCGACCCAAGCATCAATCTCGTACTGGGTCTGTTAGCACGCCCATCACATTGGGGTGTTGGGTCAACCGTACCTGCTGGCTGACCTCCTGATTCCGGTTCTCCGGGTCGACCTCGACGGCCTGGCACTTTTCCCGGTGGTCGGCGGCGAACTTGTGGTTCAAGACGGCGTCCCAGTACAGGCCGACGCCCTTGTCCTTGGCCGTACGGGCGAGCTGCAGCAGCTCGTCCTTGGTCCCCCACTTGGTGGCGACCGAGCCCTTTTGGTCAAACTCGCCCAGGTCGTACAGATCGTAGACGTCGTAGCCATTGCCATCCTTGGACGAGCCCTTGCATCTGGCGGGGTGTCAGTGGTGGTGAGGTCCGGCAGAAAAGGAGGACTCACCCTGGGGGCAGCCAGATGTTGTCGATCCCCCACTTCTTGAGCTCGCCGACGTGCTTCTCGAGACGGACCCAGTGTTTTTGGTCGGCCGGGACATACCACTCGAAGCCCTGCATCATGGTCATGTTTTCGGGAGTGGGCTCCCGGGGTTCCGAGGTGTTGGCCATCTTGTGGACAAAAGATGTGTGTGTAAAAGGGGTGATGAAATGGAGGGGTCGTTACAATTTGGAAGGGGATGGATGAGGAAATGGTCCAACTGCAAACTCGTCAATGGGAAGGAACATAGGTGTATATATGTAAGGGTCATCCCGTCGATTGCTTCCAAGGTTCTGCTCGGGATGGAGCTTATCTTGCTCAGCCCCGTAAACCTGCTTCTACCCTTTTTTGTGTTCATCGCATGCAGTTGAGGTGCTGCCCTGATTCGACCATGACTGACCGGTGGACGAGCAACCCGCCTTCCATGTGCGACCCGAGAGAATCGTAAAGCTTGACTTTCTCCAATGTCCAAAAGGAGAAGTCGACGCGATCGATGGTGTTGACCTGGGATGTTTTTGAGTTACCACTTGACCATGCAATGGGAGATGCATGTGTCAGTCAACGTAGCCAAAGAGACTGTTGCACTGCATTGATGACAGCCCGACGCATGGAATCCCGAGCCTTGAAGGACTTGCCCGGTTGGAGGCTGATGGAATTGCAGAGAGGCAAAGGAAAAAGATG